GCAGACTCCCCGCAGAGCAGGGAGCCCGATGCGGGACTCGATCCCGGGACTCCAGGATCATGACCCGAGCCGAAGGCAGTCGCTTAATCAACTGAGCCACCCAGGCACCCTAACCTTATCTTTTAAATGATACCCAAACCCTCCTGGTCCTCAGCTCCCCCCTCCCCATATAAATGAGAAATGTCATTTTATAAGGTCTCGGAAACTTGTATTATAACCTGTATTTCATTAAGGCTTATTCCCAACAGCTTCATTTTCGTCCCTTTCTTACTTAGAACATTTGACAGTAGGAGGAACCAAATTAAAATGGACTTAAGTCAAAGAAAGGGTTTAGATAGATGAAAAACCCAGGAGCACTTGGTTTCAGGTACAGTTGGATCTAGTTGCTCACTGAAGCTTAGGCCTCTCCTCGTGCCAGCCGTGGTGATTCCCCCCTCCATCTAGCATCTATGGACTTTTATCCTCTCAGGGGCCCCAGGGAAGAACATCTCTTCATTAGTAGTGGCAAGCTGGGACTGTCTCTGATTGGTCTAGCTTGGTCACATGCCCAGTTGAAACCTTTACTCTGACCAGGGGCATACAAGGGTGGGGTTAGCCCAATCTGTACCTCTCAGACAAAGTATGAGCAAGGGGAGATTTTCCCAAAGGCAGCTGGGCCCTATGCCAATGGCCCCTCAGACACCACACTGAATAGCCATTAAGGCCATGGAAATATGGATGAGGGTCAGGTCCCAGGTCTATAGATCTGGGTCTGAGGTTCCATGCTGGCCCCCACAGGGAGCTGGGTTCGTGTCCTGGCCAATGAGTGCATCAAGAGGCTGTGCCCTGTGCATTTCCATAGCAATGGCTCAGAGTACATCATGGCCCTCACCACTGGCAAGCGGGAAGGCTATGTCCATTTTGGGACCATCACAGGTAAGGATGGGGGTCTCTATCAGTCCAAGAGACCCTTCTATACCCTCGTGCCTCCAAGAATTCCAACCTCTGGCCCTCATCCCTCACCAGATGCCTTCAGGAGGGGTCCCAGGCTGGAGGTTGACCCTGTGAATAGGGATGGGTTTTGCATTTGTAGTAGGACTTGAGTGTGTTATATATCTTTCATGATCTGTTTGGTTTCAAAGGGCAGAAGCCTAATTCAAAAATCATTTAGGCATATTTGTGGACTTGATAAATGAGAAAACCAGAGTCCACCTTCAGGCATGGCCAGATCCAGGGGCCCACCGGTTATATCATTAGGACTCTGTCTATATCTTGGCAAGGTCGTATAGCATAGTAATTATAGTAGAGAGAGAGATCTCATGAACACACCCAACCCAAGTCACCTGTGGCTTTGGACAGGTGATTTAACCTCTCTTTTTGGTCTCGTTTTCCTCATTTGCAAAATGGGGTTAATGATAATACTAGTACCTGACTCTTGGGTTGATATAAAGATTAAGTAAATTGGCATGTGTAAAGGTCTTAGGACAGTGCTAGGGACACAGTGGATGCTCTAAAAGGGTTTTTATTATGAACCCTGAGATTTGGCTTCATTTTCAGGTAGATACTCCTCTCTTGGAGATTGAAGATGGTCCAGGAAGTTGGGGCTCACATCTCCAACCAGTTTGAGTTACCCCAAAAGAATGAAAGCAGCCTCTTCCATTAGCTCTAGCACGAACCCAGGGTGTACTCTGATTGGCCCATTCTGGGTCAGTGTCCAGACCTGAACCAATTACTGTGACCAGAGACAGACCCACAGTGGAAGGCCAGGTGTGAGTGACTGTCAGGTTGGGGGTGAGACTCACCCCCAGAAGTCCCACAACCAAGGGGGCGGGAGGCACGGGCACCACACCCTCATCGATTGGAGACCTGGTGTGGTGGGATGCCAGACAGACTGGCAAGGGCCTGAGCATGGACCTGCCTTACTCCGCAGATGGTCATGTGTCCTTCAAGTTGCTGCCCAAGCAGCGGTCTGTGTGCGAAGGGATACAAGGTACCTAGCTCCCAAAGGGGTCTGAGGCAGGCAGGTGGGGGGATCAAGAGTGTGGGAGAGCAGGGAAGGGTGGGAGAGGTCATGGGAAAGAACAGTGGTGTCTTGGGAGGGGTGGAGAGTCGCAGGGATAGGCGTGACAGTTACAAGAGACCATGGAGAGGGGTGAGTCCAGGGCTGCTCTGGACCTACCCCTTCCTGTCCAGTTGCCAACTGCTCCATAACCTGGGCCGTATTCATTGCTGGTGACTACATATTAATGATGCTGGTGGAGATCCAAGACCCCACCACTGGGAAGTATTTCCAGGTGGTCAGCTACGACTTGGGTAATTGGGATGCTGTGGGGGGCTGCGTGGGAAGGGGCAGGAGCCCAGAGTGTGAACTTCGTGCCTGTCTGTAGGATCTGTGCTCAACAGACAGGGGGAGGGAAATGTTGTTCACATCACTCCTGGGTAAGAGGTAGTGGTAGAGAATGGGCTTGGTGGGATGGAGAAACAGAAGAAAAAATATGATTGGAACAGAGGGGGGCATGGGGAGGGAGGGAGATTGGAGAGGTGGGCAGAAGCCAAATCTGGAAGGGCCTTGTGGCTCACAATAGGAGATTTCATTTTATTTTATTTTATTATTTTATTTTATTTTATTTATTTTACCTGAACAGAGAATAGGACTGCTATGTACAGTTGTATAGGCTGTGCACTGTACTCTCCAGCCAAGAAGTCAGAGGAGGCAAGTCCTGTGCCCTAACACATTCACATAAAGAAACCCTAAGGGCTAACAGGCCCAAATGAGAAGCCATTCAAGGGTTTTTTGGAGGGCTTGGGGAGCTGGTGACTTGCCCAGTTTCAGGTTTTGAAAGCTCAGAGCCTCAGAAGATTTTGCTGTGTTCTCCCCGGCTATAGTCAGTGATAACCTGGTCATCGTCTACACCATCCCGGAATTCATCCCTGATGGTAGGAAGGGAAGGCAGAGGGGGTCTCAAAGGTGGATGAGGGCCAGGAGAGGTCCAGATGACCCTTCCCTCACTGCTGTGTCCACTCTGCCTGTGTCCAAGCCAGCTCGAGGCCTGGAGTTTCTGATGATTCTAGGGACAGAGTCTTACACCAACTTCCCAATGGTACCCAAGGGCATGTTCCACAACCCGTATAACAACCTGCTGTTCATCTGGGGCAATTTCCTCCTGCAGAGGTATGGGGCTGGGCCTATTCTGCCTCTCCCGGTCCCATCAGGGTGGGGGCTCTTTCTGAAGTCATCAGGTTTTCAGAGCATGCGCAAGTCCAGAAGTTCTCAGGATTGTGATGGGGAAAACACGAGCTGCGGTGGTCAGGGCTGGGATGGGGAAGCTGACATTTTAAAGCTCTGGGAGGCCTTTCTTAAATGGAAGCCTATGTAAGGACCCAACCTATGTGAAGGGCGTTGTCAGGGGAAAAGGTTAGGACACTTTGCACCCCTCAGGAACTTTGGGGCCCCTGAGTCAGCTCCATGGGCTGTTGGCAAAGCGCTAGGTTGGCCAAATGCCCCTGTTGACAGGTGGGCAGGTCACCCAGGCTTCCAGGTATATTCTCACAAGGCTAGCAGAGAGTGGAGTGAATGGGTCTTGGGTCCTGTTAGGCCTGGAGTTGAGGGAAGCTGATAACCTGCAGGAGCCTCACCTGAGTGTCCCTGGCTCCGATCTCTGCCCTTTGCAGCTACAACAATGAAAACTTCATCTACCTGGCGGATTTCCCCAAGGAGCAGTCCATTAAGTACCTGGTCAACTCGTTCCACGGGGACATGGCTATTGTCACAGAGACGGAGGAGGTGGGCTACCCTGCTCCTCTCTCCAAACCCCAGGGGTCTCCCTTCTTCCCCTGTCACAGGTAAAGGGGTTCAGGGGAGGAGATGCCCTCAGGGATTCCAGAGAAGGGCAGCAGAAGCTCCATTTATAGCTGAGAACCCTGCAACTCAAAGAGAAAGTCATTTTTCCCCCCAGTCTTTCAGCAGAGTGAAAGACTCAGAGTCATAATCTGATTTCCAGAGGGGACCCTCTTTCATTCCATCATGTGATTCACTTCAGAAACATTGAGCACTTACTGTATACCTGACCCAGCGCTGGGGGTACAGTGGTGACTGAGTCAGCCCTGGACCTTGTCCTCACAGGGTCCCAGTCCAACAACAGTTCAGAGTAGCCGGGGCTGCAGGGAGGAAGACAGTACCTACGGAAGTTCAGAAATGGGGTGCCGCTGAATTTCCAGTTCAGTCTGGGGGTGTGTATGCGTGCGTGGGTCAGGGAGGGCTTCATAGAAGAGGCCACATGGAGGAGGGGCATCCTCAAGGCTGCAGGGGATCCTCCAGGTTGAGTCTCAGAAGGGACTGAGGTCGGGCGCCTGGGTGGCTCAGTCGGTTGAGCGACTGCCTTCGGCTCAGGTCATGATCCTGGAGTCCCGGGATCGAGTCCCGCGTCGGGCTCCCTG